CCTCACCCTCGCTGTCCTTGGCCCCGAGGAAGCCCTGGGGGCAGCCGCCCAGGTCCTGCTGGTGGCCAAACAAATGTCAGCCACGACTGAGTGACCTTGGCCACAAGCGTGACAGGTCGTCAACACAGCGCCAACTCTCGTGGCTGAGGAAGCCAGGGTAAAGAGATGGCGGCCCTCAGCAGGACTCGGGCACGACCTGGAAAAGTTCTCCCAAAGGAGCGGGGAAGACATTTTCCATTTTCTTTCAAAATCTCAAAAAAATAAAAAATAAAAAGTGGTGTCAAATGCCTGTAATCCCAGCACTCTGGAGGCTGACACAGGAGGAGCGAAAGCTTGAGCCTACCCCAATTTAGAGACTTAGCAAGTCATCGTCCCAAAATAATAAAGGGCTGTGGATGTAGCTCAGCGCAAAGACCTTGAGTTCAATCCCAGAAAGAAAGAGGTGTACACCTCGCCATGCAGGACTAGGACTGATGTCCGTGTCATTGGTTTCTTCTCCTTTATTGATAAAAATTAGTATTTTATAGCTATTGCATGAATTCTTTTCAGTTACAATTACATAAAGCAAATTTAGATTGAGATAAATGTTTCAATGAGAACTTGAAAAACTTCAAATTAAAGACAAATTTTAAGTCTCAGCACGGGGTGGTGGTGCCAGCCTGTTTCCCAGAACTCAGGAAGCTGAGGCAGGAGGATCTCTGTGAGTTCAAGGCCAGCTATGAAGTGAGTTCAAAGCCAGCCTGAAGTACATAGTGAGACCCTGCTCTGAAAAAAAAAAGTCTCATGAAATAAAATGTGTTTTGTTTTTGTTTTTGTTTTTGTTTTGGGGGGGTACCGGGGATTGAACTTGGGTCCTGGCTTCTGATTACCATTATGAACAATCATGCCAGAAGCAGAATTCACGGCAGGGGATTTAGCTCAGTGGTTCCACTGACTGCCCTGCAAGCGCAAGGTCCTGAGTTCGATCCTCAGTACAAAAAAAAAAAAAAAATTACTGGAGAAAAAAAGAATTTGTTCCTGTGGCAGCACCCAGGCTAGATTCTTTATAAAGAATACTGAGCAAACCACAAGTCAAACTAAACAAGATTAGGCTTTAGAGCTGATTTTCTAAACTTTAGCTAAAAATTTTAGGTTCTCTTCCAGGCAGCTCTTTTGAGATAGATAAATACAAACCTATCTTGCTATTTATAGTATTGCTCAGCAAGCAATATACTTATCGGCGAGTGCCTGGTGGTAAGTGAAAATGAGGTGAATCTCGGAGGATCCCTAACGTCCAAGGCACACAGGAGGACGAGAGAGGGCAGATCCACGGTCACCCCCATCCAGTCGGGCTGAGTTAGTGGGCTTGCAAAACCAGATCATCACCCTGGCCTTGCAGCCAGTTTCTGAGTCAGCCCCTCAAATGAGCCATGAGTAATTTGTCTTGCAACGTCATGAAAGACGTCCCCAGGACTCTTACCACATGCACCGTCCCAGGGACTGAGGGGTGCTGACCCGCGTCTGACGACATGCAGCTGTGAGGCGGAAGAGGACCAGCTCAGCTCACTTCTCCTCCACCTGCACTCTGGGCTCTGCCCGCCCCATGGACACCGCTCTGAGCTCAGTTCTGCCGTGGACAGAGCCGGCTAGGGGAACGCCTGCGACCCTACCAACCGGGGCTACCCTCTGAAACCATCAACATGACCACACAATTAACTAGAGCATCCCTTAGGTGGGGTTGAAACCAACTCAGGAATCACAAGCTCAAGGGTTTTTACAACAGATACTCTGTAAATAAACAGTATCCATTGTGCTCCTTATAGCTGTTCAGTTCAGAGAGAGCAGTACATTATCTGAACTTTGTACCTGCAAAATAAATTGGAAACATTTTATCCATTTTACTAGGCCATAAATTTAAAGCAACAGATTTTTTTTTTCAGTACTAGAGATTGAACCAAGGCCTTCCCACCGAGCTATACCGCAGTTTATTCTTTCTTTGAAATACACACACCACCCCTTTCTGTGGTCCAGGCTGGCCTCCAACTTGGAGTCATCTTCCTGCCTCAGCCTCCTGAATGCCAGTTCCAGGTGTGCGCCACCATGCCCAGCTTATTATTTCTCTTGAGATAGCATCTTGCTAAGGTTGCCTAGGCTGGGCTTGACCTTTTGATCCTCTTTCCTAGAATTCTGGGACAACAGGTGTGCACCATTACGCCTGGCTAAGATCATCTTGGTGAGTCAGGTCTTTAGAAAAGTTACAGGGCACAAAAACATGTGAGACATCTGCATGTTCTATTTTTCTGTTTTAGGTGGTACTTGGGGACTGAACCCAGAATCTTGCACATGCTAGGCAGGATCTGCACCCTACCACTGCACTACACCCCCAGCCCTCACTGTTTTCGAGTTGTGAATGTTCTAAGTATTGAAACCTAGATATTCTGGTTTTCTGAATAATGAGCACTTTGAGAATTTGCCTTACACTAAAAAGTCATAAGCCCTTCACTATCCGGCAGTGCTAGTCCGTGCTGGGCTGCTCAACACCACAGGTGGAGCCTGGGTCCAGCTCTGGAGGCGTGGAGCCAAGACCTGGGGCAGGGTCCCCTGAGGACAGTCTTGCTGTCAGGCAAACAAAGGGAGGGCAGAAAGGGTAAGCGGGAGCCAGGGAGAGAAGGGCCAGGCCAGTCCTCTTTGTCGCTAAGGCACCAGCCCTCCCTGTGGCCAGACCGTCTCCCGGCTCCTCCTCCTGATGCCCAGGCACCGGGGATCCAGCTCCCAGCGCGACTTGGGCCATTCACACCGTGGCGCCTGTCAGACGGGGCTCTTCTCCTTTGCCAATCCGTGGTGACTGCACCTCGGTGGGAGGCTGGGACTTCAGCTGCACCTGTTACTTGGGAGCCGCTCACCCTTATCATCTAACTCCGTCTTTTACACTTATTGGCCCAAACTAGGTTTGAACCCATACACCCAGGTGATCTAAGGCCAAGTTCTAGTGTATCATTTTATCAGGGCTACTCAGTATTTTCACTGGTGACACCTGGGCACGCAGACCCTGACTTGGCAAAACAGCCCAGGCCCCAAGCCCCAGGCACAGTTAAGTCCGCTGCTCTCATCGCTGTCACTGCCAGATCTACAAGGGATGCAAAGCGGTCTCCAGTCCTCACGGTTCTAGTGTCTTTGTTAAAAGCTAGCGTTACTGGTTAAATCTGAGGCCGGCTCGCACGTTAATAACAAAGTTGCTTCCCAATGTGGATGATGCTGGATTAGGCCCTGAACCAGCACCCTGGCTTGAGAGGGCCATTCCCAACCTCCGCTGCTCCTCCTGCTCCACTGAGCTTGAGGGAAAGATCACAACTGCTTCTCAGGCCCTTATCATTCTGCACAAATGACTCAGACTGCTTCTCAAATATTCCCCTGCCAAAACTGGTTTTCCTTTACCAACCTCCAGATTCTTTTTTCAAATTGCAAACCCCTCACGTGGATCGATACCTCTTCCCAGTGCCTGTGGGACAAGAACCTCAGCTTCTTCTGGGAGACTGCAGCTCGCCTGTCAGAACCCTGCTGTGCTGAGGTGTGGCCACCCGGGCCACCCACCCTCCATTGGCCCACACCACACCACTGCGGTTCCCCTGGCTGTGCTGCTGCTTCCCTCGATCTGTCTGCCTCGTCCTCCTGGTGTTTCTCTAGGTCCTGTGCTTCCATTCCTCCTTCTGCCCACCTCAGCAATTGCCTGATTACCACGTCTGGAGGAAAGGCTCCCAGCTCACCCCCAAAGAGCTCCTTGTTGCCCCATTTCAGGGGACTTCAGCTCTTAAGTCCTTACATTCAAAGCGGCCTCGTTTTATCCCTGCCTCTGTTCAGTCTGAGTTCTTTTTCCACCTTTTCTTCTCTGGCCCTATGATGAAGCCACTCGGATTTTTCTTAACCACCTCACGCCACTGCCTTCTCATCTGTTTGCCTTGCTGGGACACCGGCTCTCAAAACCACGTTTCCCCTTCCTGGACCCTGAGCGCCGAGTATCACACTGAACCTCTTTCCAGCAGCCTTCCTCTCACTCAGCTGCAATTAATTTCTCCTTCTGTTCAGCTGTCAATAACTGGGTTGTTATGCGTGGCTACATGATCTCCCCTGCTAGATTGTGAGCAAGACAAGTGGTGTGTTCCTCTCTGACTTGCCTTCCTCCACCAAGGGGTCTAGAATCGGACAGAGCTTTTTAAAAATGGAAGAGAAAGCCAAGATATATTAGAGCAAACTATGGAAAAAAAGAAACCAGGACGAGAGTTCACAGCTCCTGATTTCTAATACTGTTTAGAGACACCCTTTCCTTTCCCTTATCAAGGTCTCTCTTCCTCTCCTTGGTGGATGATGAATCAGTCACAGCGCTGCTCAGGAGGTAGAGGGTGGGAAGGGGGAAGAGGGGAAAAGTCGGGATCTTAACCTCCAGACCTCGGAGAGGCGTCACCGCACAGTCCACCTGTGCTCTTCAGAGTGGGCTGCAAAGCGTGAGCGCGGGAGTCTGGTCGCTAGTGCCGAGAGTTAAAAAAAAAAAAA